CCGCTCGCCGCAACTGGAGAAAGCCCACGTGCAGCAATGAAGACCCAACGCAGCCAAAAAAATAAATGAAATAATAAATAAATTTATAAAAAAATAAAAAAAAACCACCCAGTAATGGAAATGAATAACAACATAAGTAATTAACCTTGTTGTAAAATATAAAAGTCAACTTGCATATTGAATCCGTACTCAGGGTGTACAAGCCAAAGAAAAGAAAAAAATAGGGCATGTGGGGGCACAGACAGTGGAACCGGGTAACCTTGCTAATTAAAGAAATGAAGATCCAAATGTATTTTCTTTGGTGGAATGGCCATTATGATATAGCATGGGAGATTCATTAAGTAAGAGGCCTATGTTCAGTTGGAGGGACCATACAAAGCCATATGGTTAAAATCAGGACCTCTTAGGAAAATCGCAGCGTTTCCCGTTTCACTGGTCTGGGGCATGGCCTTTCATGGCCTTTTGATGCTTTGCAGGTGCTTCTAATGTTTAGCTGTGTGGTCCAAGGTACCACTTTCTGGGGACAACGTTCTAAAGGTAGCCTTTAGCCCAGAGGACAAGAAATAGAAACAGAATAAAAAATCACCCACAATATTTCAAAATGGAGTAAAGGCCCTTTGCAGGACCTTTGAAATTATAGGAGGACACTTTTAGGATCACTTGTTACAAACAACTTAGTACTTTTACACTACGAATCTCCCCCTGAAATCCTAGAAAAGAAAACCAAGGAAAAGACCCTTTTCCCCACTGGGCTACACCAAGGAAAGTGTGAGCGAGAGAGGAACCAGGGTGCTCCAAGAGGGAGAGGGGGCAGGGAGTGGTCCAGTAGGATGAGACGTATTCAAGACAACCAGAATCTAGAGAGCTCAACTTGGAATTACTTGGAATTCTATGGTCAGGGGCAACCTAATGTCCTACAATTTATCCCCAAAAGGTTGATATATATGAGAGATTTTCCCAGAAGTTGGAAGGAGCATCTGACATCTGCGGAAAAAGCATGAAGAACTATTTCTTCCCTATATCTTTGACTACTGAAAGTTGTGGATGGGTCCCATTAAACTGACTGCTGCTTTGAAATGAACATTTAATTTCTTTCCAAGCACCCCCCCCCGCCCCCTCCCAAATCCAAGAGGAAGCAAAGCAACACACGGTGGTCCATTCAACATCCACAGCATTGTTTTCCAGCCAGTGTCATCTGCTTTAGGTGTAAGCAACAGAAACATAAATTACTTGTAGGGCTTGTTTCCAAAAGTTTGGACATAGGCTTAAAAATATCTCCTAACAAAAAAAGATGATCTTGGGATAGCTTGGCAGTTCCAAGACAGGTGGGGACATTAAAGATAAAGGACCAGGGCTTCCCTGGTGGCGCAGTGGTTGTGAGTCCGCCTGACGATGCAGGCGACACGGGTTCGTGCCCCGGTCCGGGAAGATCCCACATGCCGCGGAGCGTTTGGGCCCGTGAGCCATGGCCGCTGAGCCTGCGCGTCCGGAGCCTGTGCTCCGCAATGGGAGAGGCCACGGCAGTGAGAGGCCCGCGTACCGCAAAAAAAAAGAAAAAAAAAAGATAAAGGACCAGAAGGTGCAGGCAAGGAGGCCCTTGAGCCTTTATAAATCCAGGCAAGTATCCAGAAGTGAGGCTGTTTCTGTGGTCTAGGAAATGAAGGAATGGGATATATTTGGAGTTTGGAAGGCAGTTGGAAAAGAAACAATTGCTGGGTTTGGCAGAAGATTAAGTATAAAGGCAATACAACGTGTTGGGCACAGGGCCATGTCGTGCTTTCCATAATCACATTTAATCCTCCCAATAACCTTGGAAGAAGACGTATTTGTGTCTATTTTACAAGACAGAAGACAGGCACTTAGAAATTGAACCTATCCATGGCCAAACAACTATTAAATGGGAGCGTCAGCATTCAAACCTGGGACTAATGAACCACGTATTATTTTTGATGTTGCTCCCAGGACACTGGGAGCACAGAGGTGACAGCGAAGCATAGAGAAAGGTCAAGAAAGAAAGATGAACAATTTTATCTTTTCTAATTAAGTTGGTGAAAGAGAAATTCAATTTATGATGCGTGTAAGCATCAGGTTTCGGGAGGGGGAGGTTTAATGAGATTTTTTAAAAAATCTGTGCATATATATAGTTCAGTGCTGTGCAACAGCAATAAAGAGTGAGACACGTCTGTAATTTTGTGTTTTCTGGTAGCCACATTAAAAGAGTAAAAAGAGGGGCTTCCCTGGTGGCGCAGTAGTTGAGAGTCCGCCTGCCGATGCAGGGGACACGGGTTCGTGCCCCGGTCCGGGAAGATCCCACATGCCGTGGAGCGGCTGGGCCCGTGAGCCATGGCCACTGAGCCTGCGCGTCCAGAGCCTGTGCTCCGCAACGGGAGAGGCCACAACAGTGAGAGGCCCGCGTACCACAAAAAAAAAAAAAAAAAAAAAAAGAGCTTAAAAAGAAACAGGTGAAATTAATTTTAATATATTTTATTTAACTCTATTATTATTTATACGACTCAATATATTATCATAGTATCACTCCAACATGAAATCAATATAAAATTTTTGAGATATTTCACATTTGGGGGGCACTAAGTCTTTAGAATCCAGTGTATATTTTACACTTAAAGGACACTTCAGTTTGGACCAGCCACACGTCAAGTGCTCAAAGCTGCACGTGGCTAGTGGTTCCCATATGAGACAGTACAGATACCGAGAGTGCTGAATCCGTACTGAGATCCATGAAACGCGATGCACGTCTCAGGGGGAAAATAATAAGGGACAAAAAGGGGACTCTTAGAAATACCCATGGAAAGTTGGCCTGAGGAAAGCTCTCCAAATGAGACACTATCAGAGGTCTTTAATACTGCCAAGCATCGACACGATTGAAATGGCAAATGACTTGCGAGAGAGGAACTGAATTTACAGAGTCCCTCACTGTCTATCTTATATCACTGCCAATACGCCAAGTGACACCGGTGAGCTTCACAAAAGCCAAAACCCTGGTGGGCCTTAGGCAGTGGGAAGAGACCCACCCAGCTGCAATGAGCACGAGAAAACCTACCATTTATACCACATGCAAATAGTGTAATGACTAACTTCCCTCCTGTATCACAGTCTAATAATCAGACTGAAGGAAAAGGCCGCCAGATCAGACCAGTGCATTCTGCTATCGTCGAAACTTGCTTTTTGACTTATGTTTGTTTGGTGACTTGCCCCCTAGAATTAAGTGTTCATCTGAAGAGGCACAGTGATTTTCTATTGTCGATGTTGGTGTTAGAAGGTTAGAAGGAATGGAAATAGACTTTTTTTTTAAAAAAAGAACCTCCTTATATAACGATACTCTTAAGAAATACAACCATCATGTAACAATTTTGTAGCATCCAATAACAATGCATTTAGGGAGGGTGGAGACTCAGTAATACTAACAACTGACTGATATGATCATTTCATTTTAAAATATACATTTAAAAATTTTTTTTTATTTTTTTGTCCATGTTGCACAGCTTGCAGGATCTTAGTTCCCTGAGCAGGGATAGAACCCATGCCCCCTGCAGTAGCAGCATGGAGCCCTAACCATTGGAACGCCAGGGAATTCCCAATATACAGGTGTTTTGGGTAACTGAATTTATAACATCTGCTTTTTAAAAATCATTTCATGTCTATTGTAGAAATGAAATCTGGAAATTGAGAGGGAAAATATTTCATCTTTTCTCAACCTTCACATTCCTTCATAAAATATCAGATAGTGAAGTGAGACTAACAAAAACCACAAAAGCAGTCTTTGTGCAGTTATGACAGTGATTTGTATGTCAGTGCTCTCTTCTTAGGCTGTAAGTTACCTGATACCTGTCATATTGTAGGAGGTTCTCAGAAATGCAAAGAGTGCTTTTCTGAAGCCCAAGTGCTATGTTTCCATTCCATTTGAGCAGAAACAAGCAGAGAAACACCCTTTCTCCTGACATCAGCCTACGTGAGCTCATGCCTCTTCCTCTACCCACCAGCCGAGTGGCCCGAGGATAAATTCCCTAATAGGATCTGCCTCAGCCCCCAGATCTAGGTGGAGCCAGGAGGGGTGTCCTGGGGCACAAAGTAAATTGTTTCCTTGGAAACTCCTTTAGAAAAGGCTGGGTGGCAGGACTTCCCTGGTGGTGCAGCGGTTAAGACTCCACGTTCCCAGTGCAGGGGGCCCGGGTTCGATCCCTGGTCAGGGAACTAGATCCCACACGCGTGCCGCCACTAAGAGTTCATATGCTGCAACTAAGAGTTCATATGCCGCAACTAAGGAGCCCACTTGCTGCAACTAAGGACCCACCTGCCACAGCTAAGACCCAGCCCAACCAAATAAATAAATAAACTTTTAAAAAAAGAAAAAGAAATGGGTGAGTGGGGCGTGGGAGGGGAGTTCTCATCAGTGTGGTGTACACGCCCATTTATAAACCACTCTCCCCCTTCATACCCTTTTCCTATTTGCTTATCTGCCTCGAGCGTTCATAACTTCCACTGCCCTTCATTTTTTTTTCAAACAAGGCTATCTTTCTGTACTTCTGCCAACTGTTCTAAATATACTGCCCTACTGATAAGAGTCTCTCTTTTTTTTTTTTTTTCTCCAGTTCACAAGTTGGGCCAACTATAAAATTCTAAGACTCGATAAGAAAGTGTGTTTTAGAAGAAGAGGACAGAAGAAAGGTCAGGGGTAGAAATCATCATCCTTTGTTTACTACGCTGAGAAACGTGAAGCTCTCAGAGGAGTGAAATATCACAGAACCCCATTCTCAGTGACACTTTCACACGTACTCGGCTAATCTCTGGATCAAACCCTGACTCGTAGGAGATTTACGGTCATGTCCCAGAGCTGCCTCCATAACAGGTGGCCCACATGATGCTTTCATGTCCTACCCCTGGCCCTGGCGAGGCTGCACTGCTAAGCTGGTCAAAGGAAAAACAGTTAGATCATCAAATACATGCACTCTGGAGCGTGACTTTGCGGCTTTTCGGATTACCTTGATTCGGGGTATTTGGTGAGGGTGGCCAGGCTGCTGGTGTACATGTGGCCGCCCACGTCGATGTGGACGGGTGCGTTGGATTTTGTGAGTTGTGCTGGAGTAGGAATGCCTTGGTTGTTCAGTGGAGATGCAGGAGATCTAGTGATCAGAGGTCTTGACATATTGGGCCGACTGTCCTATAGAGAGATAAGCAAGTTTAGACATGTCTTCTTTTGTGGAGAGAAAGGAAACCCATACACCCTACAGAAGAAGCCAGTGACTAGTGTTGATATTCGTTTGGCAATAAAATCTGGAAGATCAGCAAGCTCTCGCTTTTGTTGTAATGAATATCAAAAAGCCCCCCAACTCTGTAACAAAGAAAAGGAAAACTTCCCATGCTCGGAAACAAGGAGCTGAGCTAATGTTCATTTCACATCATCCCACACACTGTGATGGCTTATTTAACTAATGAATTCTCACATTTAACAACTGGTTAATGGCACGTGGAGAACTACTATTCGTTCCAAATGAAAAGATAACACTTAAAACAGTCCACTCTAAATAAAATACATATGCTTTATCCTTCTCTTGGAAAACGTCCTTACTGCTGTGGGCTCGGGACAAATTCAGACCTTCGGCACTTGGGTTCTGCAGAATGTTTTCTTCAATTTCTATGTTCCAAATCAGGAAGAAGAGGACATGACTGGTCTAGCCACCAGCTCACATACTCAAAGCAACCTTGCAAATAGGCACCAGAAGTTCATCCGTCAACAGATGAAAAAAAAAAAAATCAACCCACACTCCACCCATCTGGTTCCTGTTTCTCTCCCTATAAGACTATGGAGCTGAGGACACTTTGAAAAGAATGTCCCCTCCAGTGATTAAGCATGTGCTTGGGAGCCATGAGCAAGCTGCTCTTCTGCATGCTGGGCTCCTGGAAGAGATCAAGTTCCCAAGGTTGGGCTGAGGCAGACGTTCGTGTACAATGTGCTGCCCCACAGGCAACGGTACCACAGGAGCAAACGGAGCATCACGTGACGGCAGCGAGAGCGTGCTAAAGGAACTGTACTCTTGAGAAAATAAAATATGACATCCTTTCCATGGATACAATATAAATATTTCAAACACTATTCAGACATGGTTGATTGCTTTTAAATTAGAGCCCGAACCACAGACAAGTCAAGTCAGGTCTCTGGCACTCAATGAAGGGGGTCAAGTATTTAGAATCTACGATTGAGGAATAAGCTAAAATAGCACTTATGTCTGAACTCTGCTAGGCGAACGCCACAAGGATACTCGCAGATTTATAACTTAGCCAGAGATTGTTTGCAAACATGCAGACAATGTGTGGTAGCGCCAGTGATAAGGCATAATAAAGGGATTTTGAGAAATGCCTTTGATGGAGATTACAAACGGGAAGTCATCTAGTTTTTGTGCATAAAGCCCAGCATGATGAAATATAAATTTGCAAAACATCCCAGATTTTATGATCCGAAACAGCTTTAGGAGTTACCTGGGGCACAACTGTTAGACAAGTTAGCATTAACCACACGTCCAGGCAAGACTGGGAACGCACGTGCTTCCTGAAACTCCGCATCTACTGTGAACGGGGTGGTGATGGGGCCTTTACACAAAATATTGACCACCTGTGTGGTGCTTTTCTCCAGGCTGAATTAAACAGAGCTCAGGAACAGTCATAGAAAAAAGAGCTAATGTTTTATTTCTTAAATTGGGTGGTGGGTTCGTGGATGTTCACTGTGTTACCCTTATACATTCCTGTATATTTTTAACAATGCAAAATAGATATTAGAAAACACAAGGGATGTTTGTAACACAGAGAGAAAAGTGAAAGAGGTACTGGATAGGGGAAAAAACTAAAAAACAAGGACACAGTTGGTAGGAAATATAAAACAGTTAAGGCTGGGAAATATTCAAAGTAGCATTTTAAAATTTGGGTGTCAGAAAATGCATTTTTCCTTTAAAAATACAATCATATAACCTCAACTTTTAAGAGCTACGTACTACCTGACTTCCTTTTAGAAAATGATTTCTTGGCTAAAGACACACACACACACACACACACACACACACACACACACACACACACAGATCCCCGTCTCGGTTACAATTCAGTCCATCACAGCACTGCATCTTCTGTAATAGTTATTCAGTTGGACACATTCTATATCCTGCCTCTGGGTGCTCGGGCAAAAATGAACAGTTCTGCAGGGTTAATACTGTAGTTAGACTGTGACCTCACTCAGCACAGCTCTAACTCTGTGAGGTCTACGGAGAAGGAGGAAAAAGTGAAAGCATAACTGATCGGTTGAAGGATTCCTGATTTCTCAGAATATATACCATGTACGCTGAAAATCGTGTATGTATAGATCTTACTAAATTTAACATTAAACCAGTGTTTCCTCAGTTGGGGGGTGAGGGGTAGTGGGGGGATTAACCCTTAAGGGCAAGGAGGAAGTTTCCTAATGGCTTGGCTCAGGCAGACGAGTAAGACTTTTTTTTTTAATTGAAGTATAGTTGATTTACAATGTTGTGCTAGTTTCAGGTGTACAGCAAAGTGGTTCAGTTATTTATATGTATACACACACACACACTTTTTCAGATTCTTTTCCCTTATAGGTTATTACAAACTATGAAGTATAGTTCCCTGTGCTATACAGTAGGTCCTTGTTGGTTCTAGTAAGACTTGTCGTGTTATAATTGGTCCTTGCTGAGCCTTCCTACCTCTTCTCCGAGGCTCTCTCTTCCCATCCTGGGAGCTTTCTGTGTTCCGTATTTGTCCCGTTGGTTAGATCATTTCTAAAGCATTAACTGCTCTTAGCTAATGGAGTTAAGGGTTTCCACTCAGTATTTTCTGCACTGATGCAGGCTGAAAGAATGCATAGGCTGGGCTGGGGGAGCATATTTGGGCCGGTGGTCTTGGCACTTGTAGGAGACCCTCGGATCTATTGCATCAACTCCAGATGCTTCAGCGACACAACTCTGCCCACCTCCTCCCCTCACCAGTGACCGGAACTGAGACTTTCTCTTTTTTATCTATAGATGCTGAGGTCCCTGATGGGATGCCTGAGCCTACAGAAGCCACTTCCCTCCCAGCCTAAGGATGAAGCCAATGCCCAGGAAGGCTGATCTGGGTCCTCCCTGGCACTGCTGAGACACCAAATCAACCAACTCTCAGCCTCCAGACTCTTGATTTCCTGATACTTGGGAAAATAAGTTCATCTTTAAAGCTGGTCTGAGTTGGGATTTCTGCTACTGATCCTGATTCCTACCCTTCCTGGATACAGCCGCCTCCCCAAGAGGTCATTCGGCTTGGTGAGACTTGGCCTGTGATGCCAAGAACAGCTGCCTGCTGCCAGACGCAGCAGAATTTTCTATCATATTATTGCCACTCTTCAACTACACTTGCCCATTTTTAATTGCTCGCCCAGCACCATCTCAGTTTGTATATGTCTTTTAGCATCTCACTTTGGATGAGACGAAAACCATGAACTTTAACCAGAGAGAGTGCAAGCGTCTGGATGCGCCAACATCACTGCTGGAGAAACAGCTCAGAGCACTGAGGTGTATTCGGAAGCGCGGCCAGACAGAAATGCGTTTCTGCTAATCCCCCTTCTGGAACAGACTCCTCATCCGGGTGGTGGGCTGGGGGAAGGAACCCCACTCTAACATTAAGTTACTGGGTTGTTGCCCCTTCCTTGTGCAGCCCACTGTTCCTTCCCTCCACAGTACCAGGCAGTGTCCCCAGGGATGGGCATACACCAGCGGACAGGACAGGCTGGTCCTGTTCAGTGGGAGAGAGAAGCCAGGAAACAGGTAGGGGAAGGCCAGCAGTTTACTGTGGCAGCTTAACTGCAGGGATACATAACCCAGTCTTGGGGGGCTGGGAGGTGGGATGTGGAAGGCTCCCTGGGGACAGTCTAAGCTGAGATCTGATGGATGAGAAGTCAACTCACAGTGGGATGCAGGAAGGACAGCACATGGTATATTCTAGAAATTAAAATTTCAGTACACTGTGAGAATTCTTCCACTTGTTTTCTTCCCAAGTATGGAGGGAAAGTGCAGGAAACAGAAGCTTGTAAGACAATGGTCTGAGGACCACAGAATTAAATGGTAACTTACAATGAAAACATAAGTAAACCCACCATAACATCCTTAGGAAGGGAAAAGGGGAAGAGGAAGAGCAAGGAAGCTCATAGCCAGCTTTCTAAACAGCGCTGTCCAACAGAACTTTCTGCAGGAATGGAAACAATGTTCCGCATTTGCACCATTTAGTAGGGTGGCCACAACCTCATGTGGCTTTTGAGCCCCTGAAGTGGGGCTAGGGCAACTGAGGAACTAAATTTGTAATTTTAAGTTATTTTAATCAATTTAAATTTTAAGGTAGGTAGGCCAAGTGTGGCTCGTGGCTGTCATATTGGACAGCAGAGTAAACTCTACTTGAATTTTTCTTAATCTATGGACGCCCAAATCATGATAAACTTGAACTTATCACTCAGGGAGAAGCAGGGACATTTTAAAGTGAGTACAAATGGTCTATGACTGCCCCCCCACCCAAAACATGCATTTCCCTCTCCCCTTCTAACAGTATTTCTCCCTATTTTACTGATTTTATGAAAATAAAAGAGATTAGTAACCACATAGTGGGGATGCTGCACACACATCTCTGGATCTCAGAGAGCCAGTCCTGAGACACAAAAGCACATCCCGAATGACTCCCTTCCCCTGAGGTGACAGACAGCAAAAGGAATCTGTGATGACAAAGCTCAGAACACTGGCCACCTTTTCTGGGGGGTGGGGGGTAGCTGGCTAGGAGGGGATAAGAACAAGCCTTCTGGAGAGCTAGAAAAGTCCTGAATCTTAATCTGGGAGGTTAAACCATTGTACACGTATGTATGCCTAAGATTTATTCACTTGACTCTTTTTTTTTTTTTTCCGATGTGGACCATTTTTAAAGTCTTTATTGAGTTTGTTACAATATTGCTTCTGTTTTATGTTTTTGGTTTTTTGGTCAGGAGGCATGTGGGATCTTAGCTTCCTGACCAGGGATCGAACCCGTACCCCCTGCATTGGAAGGTGAAGTCTTAACCACTGGACCGCCAGGGAAGTCCCCTATTCACTTGACTCTTACATTATACTTAAAAGGAAAATAAACCAAAAATAGTCTTGGAAGAAACTC